ACACACACACACACACACACACACACACTATTGTTTCTGATAATTCATGTCCAAAGCATGATGCTAAAGTTGACTTTTGTTTTTTTTATCCTTTGAAAGATCTTGAAATATAGCATTGCTATTTTTCAGATTCTTTCACAGAAAAAAAGATAGAAGAATCTTCACTGCGGATGATAACCAGTCCATAGAACACCTTACATATGTTATAATGATTAATTAATCAAAAGTAAATAGAGCAACTAAACTGTTTCAACCAATTATAAGTAAACAGAGCACCCAAACTCTTCCATTTATTATATATGATAAAGATTTCATACTATATTATCTGGCTTGTTCCATCACTGAAAACATAGTCAATTAATCGATGTTTTACCTCTTATTAATCTGGGGGGAAACTGCTATTTAAAAAGAATGAAATTAGACTGCTGCGTTTGACTGGGTGGTTTAAACTGGATTAACAATTTCATACTGTATAAATTGGATGGCAAAAAGTATGCATTATTTAGAAAAAAAATCAGGTTTATTAAATTCATATTTTTTTGAACAAGAATAACACATATTGTTTCATTTCATTTCATTTTGTATGGATAACTGAAATGAACATATGACTGCTTTGTGATTCTCAATCACTGAACATTATTTTATTTCTTTTTAAGAGAATCTAGTCCGCATCACATCATCATCGCTGCAAATGACACAATACCTGCAGTCATTAATTCTACTGACAATATTGGAGAAGAAATTAATATAAACTACTTGGTAAGAGATGATGCCATTTTTTCTGGTTGTGAACTTTGAAAAATAACATTTATGTGTTGTATTTTTTTTTTAATCAGGTAAACTTTAATTAAGCTAGTTTGTAATATTTTCTATGAACTAGATATAACTTTCTGCAAATGGAACTTCAGGTCACCTCACCTGCACATTTCCAAAAATCTGCTGCAAAGGATAACGAGATTTTTAGTACAAATTTGAGAGGGGTATATTCCTATACAGAGGATCAAAACAAATTCACACTTCTGGCAGGAGCACAGTGACAGTGGTTGATACATCTAGAATTCATCCGTTCAATTATAGCAGGAGTGTCAAACTCGATTTCATAGAAGTCCACATCAGGGTTGTGTTTGACCTTGGGGGCCAGGGGTGGGGTGGCCAGGTTGGGCGTAGCCAGCTCAACATCACTCGTTGAGGCTCCGCTTTTGGCTGCGACAGCCTCCTGCAGCCCTCTGCCAGCGAAAACACAGCCCGTGCATGTCTTCCCCAACAGGGGTGGGTTCTGGCAATTACTACTGCCAGTTCACTCATGGCCACATGAATAAAAAAGCAAAAATTGCTCTGCACATGCGCAGAAGCAAAAAAACCCCAAGATGGTAGTGCCTATGGCGCCACCCGGAGGACCAGTTCAGAAGTGTGGCAGGCCTGGTTCGCTGCTGGTTCCCATGACCCAGGCTGCCAACCACTACCAGTTTGGCTGAACCGATCCGAACATGTAGGAACCCACCACTGCTGCCCAAGCTCCATTTTCGCTGGCAGAAGGTTGCAGGAGGCCATTGCAGCAAAAAATGGGGCTCAAGAGGGCCATGTAGAAGCCCCATGGCTGGTCCTTCGCTGTTTCCAGGAAAGCCCCATGAGCCAGATCTAAGCACCCCGTGGGCCAGATCTGGCCTGCGGGCCTTGAGTTTTACACCCCTGAATTATAGACATTTGCCAATTATAGACACTTTTCTGAAAAATAAATGCCACTTATTCTTCTTGCTTCATCTTTTCCCTTGGACACATAATTAGCAAGCAATTAGTAAGAAACTTAAATCTATTTACAACAAACCACAGACAGAACAAGTCATTGTGTCAGTGAAGTATAACATGGCCACTAGTAATATACCACAGATTATTTATTTTATTTCCCTTAGAGATATGTTTTTAGTTTAATTTATAGTCTTTTGATTTCTAAGATAATATTTAAATAATTATTTTCCATGCATGCAAATTTAGTAAGGTGGAGATCTACTGCTATGAAATAAAATTGTACATTGTTATTTGTTTAGTAGTGACTGTAGCACTTGTTAACAATGGGGAAACATTTTTTTTAAAATTTTAATTAGCCTTTCATTCATCTTTATAGATTGAGAAAGGAGAACATTTCTTACAGCCACAGCTTGCATTGCAAATCTCATTTCCAAAGAATATTTCAGTTGAAAATCAAATCCTTTACTTCACCAGGATATCATACTCAGAGGTAAATCTGCAATATATAAACTAACACTGCTCTGAAGTTCAAAATTAGATTTCGATTTCCACAACATGGGTCCTTGAATGAGTCAATGTCCCATCTGTTTCTTTCCATAAAGGAAAAAATGGAGTCTACTTGGGTATCATAATAAATAAAATAAAGATACTTAAAACATTACATTTTTTCTTCTTCTGATAGAATGCAAAATGCCAATCCAGCCACCCAAGTGATTTGTTAAAGATTGACATGGGCAAACCATTCAAAACATCAAAGATACAAGAACCTCTAAAGGATCCCAACATAGTATGTATACCTGATTTTATATGGAGTTTTTTTGGGGGGGGGACAGGGATATAATAATTCATTTTAGTGTACAATATTAAGTTGGGCTTGAATTGTGTTTCAAGGCCTGGGTTTTGGGAGCCTAGGGTTGGTTAAATTAATGTTTCTCAACTTCATCAACAAAGTTTAAGATGTGTGGAGTTCAACTGTTGTAATTCCTTGGCCAACATGAGGAATCACAAACATCTTAAGATTGTTAAGGTTGAAAAACAATGGGTTAGATCAGGAGTGTCAAACTGGTGGCCCATGCTTCATGCACAGGCCATGCCCATTCCAGCTCCATGAAGAGAAAAATATTGTGATACATCATGTGACAGCAACTTGACCACACAAATTTGACACCTGTGGATTAGATGGTCCATTGAATGTTGTTTGTTACTTGTTTTGGTTGGCTTTATCCTCAGCGACCATTGTAGTTTTCTTCTTTGCTGATATTTCTTCTTATTGTTTTGAAATGTTGCAAGTGGCACCCAAAGGCACATTCACTAGATGTGCAGTCATATAGTAGAATGATCCTTATTAGGTTTTGAAACAGATTTTTATTTTATTTATTATAGCTTGCAGTCAGGGCCTTCCTGAAAGCAAAATGATGGGCAATCTGAATGAATGAACTTTACTGGTATCACCATTGTTATTTATCAGGACACTTCGTACTTATTTCAGCATGATATGGAAAATGTGTCCGGTTATCTAATAATTTTGCTATATTGGGCAGTCATAGTTTCCAAATATATTAATGATGAATGTCTATGGTCTTTTCTACAGAATTGTGATGGATATGATTGTGCATCCATTAATTGCACTATAGCACCTTCGAATATAACTCACGTGAATATTTCATTCAGACTCTGGAAGCCTACTTTCATAACGGTAAGTGAGCAATCATGTTTATTAACAATTTAAAATGATATGTTGTCAGCGGTGTAATCCTCTGAAGTATGCTACCAGTTCGGTGAGTCTGCTACTGAGTGCGTCCATGCACACCTGAGGCGCACCTGCACAATGCTAAAAAGGAAGCATTTGAAGCCTTCCAAGTCTGCTCAGATGGAGCAGAAATGCAGCCATTTGTTCCATCATGGCTCGGATTTCCCATTTTACCATAAGGGGCTGTCAGTAAGAGCTGAAGAAGCTTCTTGGATGAAAAGCAAAACATCTTCAAAAGAAAAAAACAAGAAAGTCCGTTGCCTCTTGAAAAAGCACCTTTGGAACAACCAGGACCTGGATGACTGAGGATCTCCATAGACATCATATGCCAGACATCTCCCAGCAGGGCCAAGAGGAGATATAAAACTAGAGTACTGATTCATCAGGGAGATGTTCCAGGTCAGAGGTCTCCAACCTTGACAACTTTAAGTCTGGCGGACTTCAGCTCCCAGAATTCCTCAGCCAGCTGGCTGGGAAATTCCGGGAATTGATGTCCACTAGGCTTAAAATTGTCAAGGTTGGAGACCCGTGTTCCAGGTAACTAAAGCTACAAAGAGAAAATACCATTGAAAAGAGGTAATGTTGCCTCAGTATCCAGGCATGCGATAGGACTAAAAATCAAAGAACAGGGTGAAAAAAAAACCCTGAAATTACATATAAAGAAGACCAAAGTTTGACAGCAGGTACAACATCAGTTTTAAATTAATAATGAATACATTGAAGTGCTAGAAAGCTTCTGCTGTTTGGGATCAACCATCAACAACAAAAAAAAACCAAGCAGCTAAGACTACTATTTGATAGAAAAGCCATGAAGGTCTTGGAAAAAATATTGAAATGCTCTAAAGTGTCTATACTCGTGATGGTGAACCTAGAGCACGCATGCCAAAGGTGGTACGCAGAGCCCTCTCTGCTGGCACGCGCATCAGATCTGTGTGGCGTTTCTTTCGTGAGCTCCTGTTTCCCTGCAAATGACGAAACAGACACTCACAAAAGAAAAAGATTTACCTCTTGCTGCGCTGCTGGTGTTGGAATGCCACACTTCCCGCCATCCAGTTTGTCTTTGGGTCTCTGCTGACCATGCACACATGCCTGCGCAGGAGTGTGTTTGCACCTTTCAGTTTGGGCATGTGTGCATGCAGTTTAGTCACTCGGTGTCTAAAGGGTTTGCCATTTCTGGTCTATAACTTACAAAGACAATTATGCAAGCCACGGTATTCCATGTGACATCAAGGAAGTGAAAGTTGGACTTTAAAGAAGCAGGACAGAAAAAATACTGAGGCCTTTGAACTTTGAGGTCAGAAAAGACTCCTGAGAATACCAAGCGAATGGATATTTAAAGAAATCAACCCCTAGTGCTCATTCAAGGCACAAATGACCAGGCTCAAATTATCCTATTTTGGACACATTAGGTGAAGATCCAGTTCTCTGAAAAAAGTTCTAATTCTGGATAAGTAAGAAAGAAAGAGAAGAAAGGCAGCAGCAAAGGAGATGGACTCAGTTACGAGATCCTGAGTATTCTGTTGGAAGAATAGGTTAGGGACAGATCCTCTTGCAGAGAAATCTATATGGTTGCTAGGAGTTGAAAATAGTTTGATGGCACATAATCAATTTTTTTTATTATGCAGCTCTATAAACCATATGTTTCTGGTTTCCTGTAAGCCTTTTTACAACAAAGATATTGCCTTAGAAAAAGAGTTAGAAAGAAACAATAATCTCTCCATGTTCTAGTATTGGCTTCAACTTGCAAGCATTTTTTTTTGTTCTTTGGTCCAAAGATTGATCTCATGAGATTGTAGGAGAAGAACAACTGAAAACATTGGACAATAAGTGAGTCCAGATGGTAAGCAACGTTTGTGTAGAGTCCAAATTATTGTTTCTCAACTCTGGCATGCCTTGAGGAGGAGTATGATGGAGTTTGAGACGAACTGAAACTGCAGTGTCCACTAAGTGATACAAATATTTGGTGCCAATAGTTTTTCCTTTGGCCCTTCTTGTGTCAACCTCCAGAAGAAAAGGTTTAAATAAAATCCTAAATTTTAAATTATCCTTTAAATCCTAAAGTTTAAATTATCCTAAATAAGCCAAAATGCTGCTTATTTTCCCTGTGAAGGTCATTAAGTGAGTGTAATAGTAAATTGTTCTGTCATCACAGCGAATTCCTTTATGTGCACTTCTACTGACATTTCTTATAAGCAATAAGCAGCATTTTCCTCTCTGGGTCTTCTTTTGAATTTGGAACCAACCATGTAAGAATAAGCATTATCACTTCCATTTTATTCCAGGCAAAAATTCACAGCATAGAACTCATTGTGAAAGCAAGTCTAAGGAGTGAAAACTCATTAATGATCTTGAAGAAAGAAAATGAAAAAATAGAGGTGAGTTCCAGCAGTTTATTTAGCATAACATGAATTCAACTGGCAAGCCAGTTTAGCCAAAAAAATTATCTGCCTGTAATTAGGTGGAAAAACCCTAATAAATATAGAAAAAAAATACTTATAAATAACCATTCAGACTATTAGCTATATATTTGCTTGCAACTCCATTGCTTTTTTAAATTTGAACCTTAATACAGCTGTTGGCATTTTACAAATTAATAAATATTTGTGAGTGTCCTTGTAACAATAATATTTAGATATGTATAACTGGTATAATTAAGGTGACCAGACATCCCGCTTTCAGTGTGACAGACACGCTTTTGTACAATTTGTCCCGCGCCCTGCCCAGTTTTCAAAAAGTCCCGCTCCCCAGCCCATTAGCTATCTCTCGCTCCCCCACCCATCCATACGCTTTCAGTGGGGTGCATGCTGGGAGGAATCTCTCCTGTCCTCCCAGCTCCCTTTCGCCCGCAGCAGAGATCGGGTGGGCCAGAGGAAGCACTTTAATCAGTGGGATGCGTGCAGGGAGGAGAGGAGNCAGTCTTTTTGCCTTTCTTTTTCATATGTACACACTTTATATAGACTTTAGATAAATGTATCTATATGTACATAGACTCATTAGTCCAAATGTGCACGAGAACTTCATAACATGTGTGTGTGTGTGTGTGTGTGTGGGTGGGTGTGGGTGTGCATTCGTGGTTGTGTATACACTAGGGACCTCCTCCAGACTTTATATCCTCATCTTCATTTTATTGCTCAGTGTACAAAAAAAGAAAACATTTATTTTAGTAAGGGGAAATGTAATGATGAATTGTATTCAATTTTTAGCAATAGAGGTAGAACTTAGACTTATATACTGCTTCACAGTGCTTTTACAGCCATCTCTAAGCGATTTACAGAGTCAGCATATTGCCCCCAACAATCTGGGTCCTCATTTTACTCATCTCAGAAGGATGGAATCTTGAGCCTGGTGAGATTTGAACTGCCAAATTGCAGGCAACCAGCATTGGCAGAAGTGTCCTGCAGTACTGCACTCTAACCACTGTGCCACCTTGACTTTTTTGTTGAAAATATAATTGCAGTTTTATTTTATTTAATTATAAACACTGACATTTTATGCACTTTCTTTTCATTTAGATTTACTTCGAAATAGCAGTCCAGTTCAATGTGTCGCATCTCCTGGAAAATACAACAATTCACTTTTCTGTTACAAGGTTGGTACCAGTAATATCTACACAACTTTAGATTGAATTGGGATCCACTCTCTTATTTTGGCTTCCCCCATTGAAATTATGGGGAAGTTTCCATTGAATCAAGATTGCACAAAAGTACATTAGTCTATAATTTATTGGAATAAAAGACTAAATGGTGATATATAAAAAGAGTGAAATCAAATAATAAATTTCATTGAATGATTAAGATGTAATAAAAGAATCAATGGCAATATAGTAAAATAATACCTAAAGCAATGGTAATGTAAGTGGTTAAAAGGATTAATAAAGGGTAAATTTTAAACTATTCAAAGCTTAACCAATGGCAAATCTTATATTAATTCAAATCAGAAAAACTGAATGGAGTTCCAACACTTGTAGGTTCCATTTATAGCGTAAGCATATTTAAGCATCCAAACTATTAAATCCTAAAACAGATTCATTATCTACTCCTTTAGTGGAAGATTCAATGATCTTTATGGTTTTCAGCTTTGGGTAGAAATAAGAAAACTTAATAAAGAAAGAAAATATAAAGAAATTCAAAGGGTACAATACTCTGTCCATTTATAGTGGAATAAAAGTTTAAAGATCTTGAATTGAGTGGGGGGATCCTGACAGCATGGTGGTAGTGGTGCAATGGTTACAATGCAATATTGCAGACTAACTCTGCCCACAGCCAAGAGTTTGATCCTGACCAGTTCAAGGTTGACTCATCCTTCCAGCCTTCCAAGGTCGGTAAAATGAAGACCCAGATTGTTGAGGGCAATATGCTGACAGTGCAAACTGCTCAAAGAGTGCTATGAAGCACTATGGAGCAGTATAAATCTCTACTGATGTTAGTGCTACTGCTCTAACATCATAAAATATTTCCTTGCTTCTTTATATGAGTTAATGTTTTATTGATACAGTATTTTGCAGTGACCTTATGATTTGATTGGCTGTTGGCATTCTTAGGTTACCATTAAATTTCATTAGTCACTACTTCTGAATTCACAATAGTTGCTGATTACATGTACAAATCTTGATAAACCAGCATAGATATTAATGAATTGTTGCACCAAAAACATTTCTTTTGAATTCCATACTTAATTGGCTATTTTAAATCTGGACTTTCTTCTCCAGAAATTAAGTTGACTCTAAGTTAGTTAACTCATTTTTCCACTTCAAGTTTCTTTACAAATAAAAATGAAATAATTTTATAATATAACAATAAAGCAAAACATGGGTTGGTGTTTTGATCATAATAGCTTGTTGGTTAAAATTGCTTGTTGTCTAAAGCAACTTTTGAAATATATTTTGTTTTAGTGATAGTGATGAACTTGATGAGACTCTTGGAGACAACAGAGGAACAATTTCATTTCCAGTTAAATATGAAAGTGGATTAATATTTAAAAGGTATACCTCACTTTTATCTGTATTTTATACTGATCATCCAGTTTTTTTTTTTCTGTGATAAAAAGTCCCGTCCTCCCCAAAACAAAAGAGTCATGTGGTAGCACGGTTTCCTAATTTGTTCCTTAGTTCCCTTGACCACTAATGGCTCTTGGTTCTGACTGAGGCTGAACCTCGACCCATGGTATCATTCTGGTAGTGCACATAGTCTTTTAGTTCAAGCCTGATTTTATATGGAATCCTTCAATATAACATGCAAACCAGGGGTGGGCAGCTGGGGGTTCACAGGGGTTCAGGAGAACCTCTATCTAAGATTCTGTGCAGGTTGGAGAACCCCCAAATACCACACTTGGCTGGCCCCGCCCACCCCTCCCCTCCTGAGAGTCCCCACGTTTCCCATCTTGGATGCAGGTAGCTCAGGGTGGGCGAAAAATGGGCCTAGTGGAAGTTTGGGAAGGCCAGAAACAGGCCCATTTCTGGCCTCCAGAGGACCTCTGGAGCCTGGGGAGGTCATTTTTGTCTTTCCGGAGGCTCAAGGAAAGCCTCCAGAGCCAGAAGAGGGCACAAACGCTCCTCCTCCTGCCGCCGTGGTGTAGGAGGCCGACTAGGCCACGCCCACCATGGCCATACCCACCCAACAACCAGGCAGAGAACCCCCTGCTAAAAAAATTTAAGATCACCCCAACACACACACACACACACACACACACACACACTATTGTTTCTGATAATTCATGTCCAAAGCATGATGCTAAAGTTGACTTTTGTTTTTTTTATCCTTTGAAAGATCTTGAAATATAGCATTGCTATTTTTCAGATTCTTTCACAGAAAAAAAGATAGAAGAANTGTGGAATTCTGGGAGTTGAAGTCCACAAGTCTAAAAAAATTTGAAACCCCTGTGTCAGTGCCTCACCAGCTATAAACCTCACCGCACGTCACTGGTATCAACTTGCAAATCAGCAGGTATAGAAATGTAGTTTTAATGTAGGTGTAGACTTGGAGCTTTAATATTCTGAAATGATGTACAGTATATGACTTATCACATTTTTCTTTCCAAGGCGCAAGTATTTATTTATAGAATAGAACACACTGCAGAAGAAACAAAACATTTGCACTTATAGAACTATCCCATAAGAGAAGAGGAGAGAATCAAAGTTCAAATATTTCTAACACTAGCATTTGCACACTCACATTTACACTTTTTAACTGATCCCTAAACAGTTTTATTCATTAAAAAAAAACTAGGTTGGAGTCAGAGTTAAGATCTACACTTCCAGTTGTTGTTTCCCATCCAACATCTGTAGAAGATTTTGAAGACAAGTGGAAAGTTGTTGGGATAAAAATAATTAGTCCTGTCTCACTAAAGAGAACCTTTGAATCAATCCCAAGTTGTATTCGATAACAAAAGAATGGGTTTCTAATGAATAAAAAAGTAAAAAAGTATTTTCTATTCAACTTGAGTCCCCAGTTTCTATTTTAGAGAAATCATGAATGCTTGTTTTGATTTAATGTATTTCAGACAATAATTCAAATCTCAAAGGAGCTTCTTCCTGGCCATGTGCCATTATGGGTCATTCTACTGAGTGTTTTTGCTGGACTCCTGATTCTTACCTTGCTTATATTTGCATTATGGAAGGTAAGATTCATTTTTTACATTTTTTTCCTGAAACCTTGGTGAGTTGGCAAAGGCAAGAAGGGGAAAATCTTTCTGACTACCTGCTTAAGCAAAGCCACTTAACTGATGACCCATCCATGAATTTAAAAGAAAATCAATGTTTTCTATCTTGCAATGTTACAAATAAAAAAAGTGGTTCAGGAATCAGCTTTTGTATGACATAACTTTGAAAGTTGGAGTGTATATTATTATTATTATTAAATGGTTGTTAATTAATATTTATATAATCAGATTCTAAATGTCATTAAAATGTGCAAAATATTTTGAGGAAGGTTAGTGGTTGTTCACATTGGTGTTGTTATCTTGGAATTATATGGTTGGATGGAAACATAATCCAAATGAGAAAAACAGTGCTCTAAATTAGATATATACTTAGATATATATATAATTAGGTATAAACTTGCACTTCCTTATAAGCTTGGCTTTTCCTAAATCTTATTTCTCACATGTGTCTTTTTTCATGTTCTTGTAACTATTTAGTTTTCAGTTCTCAATTTGTAAATATATATTTACAAATTTCTACTGGAAATTATTTTCATTCTTCCCAGTGTTCCATATAAAAATACTTTATTGTTCTCATATTAATAACTTTATCTCATCAGGTTTGAAATAGGGTTGCACTTTTTTTGTAATATAATCTAATAGTTAAAAAACATCTGTTATTATTCATTTGGCCATAAGTTGGCAGTCTTGTCAAAGCTAAGAAAATAAGGTCTTTACAACTTGAAACAATTTTTAGTGTCTTAAGAGACACTAGTTTCATTAATTGTTTCAATTATTATTAGTGTTACCACAAAGTGACCCATAAAACAACAACAACGTGTAATAGTGATACCCATTGTCATCGGAGCACTTGGTACCATGTCCTAGAATTTTATAAGATACATCAACAAATTGCAACTTCCTGCAATAACACCAGCAGAACTGCAAAAAACTGTGCCAGAACATCTTATATTTTAAGAAGGTACTTGGTTGATACCTAGGATGCTGACAGCAACCCATACCAACCATTAGCACCAGTCAATGGTATTTGTGATGCATTTTTGAATGTTCAGATGACTGAACATGTTTAATGAATAAAGTTAATAATAATAATAATACAGAGAATCAATTTTGCATCAATAAAATAAAATGGAGAGAGAGAGAAAATTAAGTTAGTGTCTTAGTAATAGACCAGTGGAGGATACAGAATATTAAATTATATTAAAAATAAAAGATAGAGGATAGCAGAAATCCCAAGGTGCAAAAATAAATGGCATTAGTCAACTATGAAAAGTAATGCTTTTAATTCCAAGCAGTATGCATGTCATTCTATATATTTCCCTCAGAGTAAATCTAGTTCATATTACCAAATTAACTGATGGGTCTTTCACAATTTATATTTATCCTAATATGGTTTTATGACTTTTGTTCCTTTTAGTGTTTCATCTGAAGAAATTTTATTTTTTCCATATGGGGATGGGGGGGGGGAGTATTGGAACGATTGACACTCAAGAAAAAGTGTCACTTGGAGTCTGTCATTAGCTCATAGTCTAGACTTAGACATGTTGCACATGTCAGATTTTGTATTTATCTCCTTTGTGTCTAATGCAGTAATTTTTAATCTGAGGGTTTGTTTGATTTTATTTTCCTTGCAGGCTGGGTTTTTCAACAGGCCCTTAAGAAAGAAAATGGAGAAATGAGGAGAAACTCCAGAAAAAGAAAAAGAAAACTCTTAACAGTTCTTCAACGAACTGTCCTTTGGTGGACTTCTGAGATATGACTATAAATCCAATCCTTGGTTCAATGTAAGAAAAGAAGTTTTTCACAGAAGTTTTATTTCAAGCAACACTTTATGCTGAGCAATAAAGGAAACAAAAAGAAGAAGAAAACCAACAAACCAAAGATAGAAAAGATAATTCTGGAATGAAAGCTTCTCTTTTCTTTTCCTTTTCTTTTTTTTATAGGTGAGCAGGACCGAAAAATCTGTGCAACTTGTTCTGAACTTGGAACTTTTTTCTCAGATACCTTTATGGATATACAAGCAACTTTGAAGTCAAGGTGTATTCAAAACTAGGGACAGAGCATGAGACAATTTACTCCTCAGATTCTATCCTTATTTTTAATATTGTCACTTATTTTTTAGAGCACAATCCACAGGTTTTTTTATCTCAAATGTATGCACAGGGACATATATCCTGCTGAATTGAATCTGAAGATTTCAAACAGTGTCTGATATGCATAAACATCTGCAACTTTGATTTATCACCATTCTTACATGGCCAAGAAGCCCATATTCAAAGCTGAGTATGCTACTGATTTGGGAAACATTTATCCAGGAGGAAAAACACCGTTCAGAAATTAGCAACGGCACCATAAAACTTCACAGAGGTGTTATCTATCACCCATCGGATGGAATTCCCCGCCTTGTGTATAACTCTAGAAAAATTATTACTTCATGGCTAAGATCATATTTGTAATCGGAGAACCTCAAGTACAATCCTTGATATTTACAATTTCAGAGGGGAAAAATGTGCATCCAAAAAACTGAAAACTTGCTATATATCACTAACGCTAAGATATCAGAAAAGATATCAGAAAAGTTATATTTCTCATAAATTAAAAGTGTGTGGGTCCTATAAGTTAGTTTACATCTAGAAATAGAAACTTTTAACCATTTTGTGCAGTTAAAAAAATGAAAGACTTTTTTCACAGCGAAGGGGTGAATTTGAAAGCAGATGCCATTCCTTCACATAGCTTCCCCTTATGACTGAAATAAATCATAAGACTACATTAGAATCATGCATCACTGAACCATTTTATTTCTCCAAGGTGTATATCCTCAGTAATGTTTTCAGGTACGGTATGTATTGACCACCAGGAGGCAGTACAATACTGGTTTTCTAATAAAGATAAAATCCACAGCACACTGCCTCCTGGTGATCAATGTAATAGAATAAGAATAGCTATCTGCACAGATGATTACTGCTTTCTCATTATTAATGATGAATCCTTGAAAAATCATTTGCTTTATATTTAGTGGAAAATGTGAAAAAATGATTTTTTTCCTGAAAATGTTAAATCATAGTTCTTTAATTTATTACAGACAGAATATGGATCTTCATGCAAATCACTAATGCTTGAAAATTGCTTGATTGTTAGCAGAAAAATAAGATTTTTTTTGCCTTCAAATCAGTGACTACATGGAGAAGTCCAAGCAGTTTTCCAGACAGAAGTTTATGGCCTTCTTCCCAAGGCTGAGAGGGGGTAACTAGCAGGTCCCAGGCAAAATTAGAATTCAAATTTCCCTGCTCAATTTTTTTTCTCACCAGCAGACCACTGTAATGTGATACACTATAATACGGCAGTGTTGCAAATGCTTTTGACAAAAAATTCAACATGACATGACCATCATAGATGCTATGAGTGCATTTACCTAATGATTTATATTCATTATTTTCTTCAGATGCTTTTTGTTGCTGTTTTAGCCACCGTGTTTTTCCTCACTGAAAGGGTTGATTGGTATCAACCCTTTTCAAATATTACACAAATGTTTGAACTTTATACTGGTGCTCATAAATTCTGTAATTCTATTGTGAATTGTACAATCTTCCCATATCCATCTGCTACTATATGTAATTTAAATATTTGTTCAAATAGACTTTTAGAATAGCTACAGTTATTTATGTTAAATATTAACATTTTATCAATCCACTGGAATTTTTGAAACGTTATGCTGAACAATTGTTGTACATAAACAGACTATTATGATTTTTTTTAAAAAAAAATCAAAATCTGAAAAAATCTGAAGACTTATTATTGGAGGATTACACAGCAATGGCAATAAAAAATGACCCATATTGGGAATGATGCGAATCATGAAATTGATAGAATAGGATTTCCTCACAAGTACAGTTTCATTTGGATGGATATTGGAGTTTCTGGAGCTTTTATTTCAAATATTTCAGTATTTCAAATATCCAATTTTAAATGCATTATAAGCAATAAAAATTCAGATTGAGATTGGAATAAAGCAAGGTATCCTGTAGAACAATTTTCAGCCGCATGGACTTCAATTCCCAGAACTCTCCAGCCAGCAAGGGAACTGTTTAAGTTTCATCTACAATAGATCCCTTACCTGTGACACAATTGGAGGCGAGTGGCGAGCAATTGAGCAAAACCAAAACCATCCTCCCCCTCCCCCCAGTCTGTGGAAAATTTGTCTTCCATTAAACCAGTCCCTTGTGCCAAAAGGGTTGATACACACTGATATACAAAGTGTTTGCACTGTTTTCCCTACTGAAAAGATAAACAACATTGTATTTCCCTTTTCAAGAATTGTTGTTGTTAACTGCAAAGTTATGTCCGACCTGTTGTGACACCATGGCCTTCCTGTTCTCTACCATCCTCTGTCCATTTAAGCTCACACCTTCTGCTTCAGTGACTCCATCCAGCCACCTCATTCTCTGCCATCCCCTTCTTCTTTTGCCCTCAATCTTTCCCAGAATTAGGCTCTTCTCCAGTGAGTCCTTCCTTCTCATTAAGTGGCCAAAGTATTTGAGTTTCATCCTCAGGATTTGGCCTTCTAAAGAGCAGTCAGGGTTGATCTCCTCTAGGACTGACCGGTTTGATCTCCTAACAGTCCATGGGACTCCAGCACCATAGTTCAAAGGCCTCAATTCTTTGGCACTCAGTCTTGTTTATGGTCCATCTTTCACAGCCATACATTGAAAATGGGAAAACCATAGCCTTGACTATATGCACTATATTAGTAGGGTGAAGTTTCTGGTTTTTAGTATGCTGTCTAGATTTGCCAAAGCTTTCCTCCCAGGAGCAAGCGTCTTTTAATTTCTTGGCTGCAGTCCCCATCTGTGGTGATCTTGGAACGCAGGAAAATAAAATCTGTCCCTACCTCCATTTCTTCCCCTTCTATTTGCCAGGAATTGAGAGGGACGGATTCCATGATCTTAGTTAGAATTACAGGGATGTTTGTATTTCATATTGATGCCCTTAAATTTTGTGACTTTATTGTGAGTTGTACAGTCTTCCCATTTGAAGGCTGGCTGGGAAGTTCTGGGAGTTGAAGTCCACTGCTCTTAAAATTGCAAGGTTGAGAAACACTGCTATAATTAAATGTACTTTAATTTTCTACTTATAAATTGAGGAGTTATTTAAGTGACTAAATTTAAGGTCTCAAATACTAATTCATACCATACATTGTACAGCATATAGATAAAGTATCAAGGAATAGATAAAATATTGTAAGCAGTTTAAAACACTAATAACACTACTGAACACTATGGTCTAAAGCTACTTGAACTTAACCAAGGGTCACAAAGTCCAATTTAAAGCACTAGCAAATATTATTGGCTAATTTGTAGGTACGGCTGACTTTATCTAGATAGTGATTACAAGGTGTAGCCACTATACTTATTTTAATGGAATTTAGTTTCAAATATTCATAGGAACATGAATATAGAAGCAATTGCATTCAGTAATTTAAAATTTTCTAGTTAAATATTGTTGAAATGCCCTAGAGAAAGTAGGTCATAAATTGGAGTACAATGCTACGTAATGTGAAAAATAACTTTTCTCCCACTTGTGTCTTTTTTTGTGTATTATAAACTGTTTTTGTCATACACTTGTCATTTCAAGAGCAGCATGTTGATAAATGCATATTTTTAAAATAGAAATTTATTATTCATTTCACTATCTAATTTTCTTTTCATGTGGAATGTTCCACTTATGTCTCTATAGTTATTCTACCCACACACATCAAGGATCTCTGATCTACAATATTTAGTTTTGAACTGGGATTCTAAATTTTCTCCTGACGTATTAAAACTAATTTGCAGTGGCAAATGATGGGAATCCATTTTGCCCCATTACCGGCAGTCAAACCGGGAAACTGTGTTCTACATAGAAGTGTCCACAAGGCATAGTTTAAAAAATTCAAGATGGTGGACAATACAATACAATCAAAACTCCACTTTTTTTTTTGCGTATATACAGGTAGAGTTTCCTTGCAGCTGCCAACTTGACTTTTAACCTGTCTAGAGCTGCTTTGAGTCCAAAACATTCACCAAAATCATTTTCTTCCTGAGTATTTACAAAAAGGAGTCATCATCAAATTGTTTGGGGGAAAAAGGTGAAATGCCATTTTATATGGAGGTTAAAAACATTCTGTTCATTATATTATGTTGAGGTAAAGGCCTGACTCATGCCTTGCAGCATCAATTGAAGTAACATGCCATGTATTCATTTCTATTTTTTCTGTAAATATTATTTGTGTGGGTGAGATTATGTGAATGTCTATGTGTGTTACTAATATAATTACACAATCTTGTCTAAAATTGTGAATGAAACTCTTTGCTTAGTCATTATAATTTAGCAGACACTACATTAAGATTTACAACTTGAGATCTATGAATAATTATGACTGTAGGTGACCAATATTTGAAAAAGTCCCTCAGGATAGGCTGATTTAACACATACTACTTTCTATTAATTCTGTCCATGTATGGACAGGATCACAGAGAATCCTTAATCTCCTTCCTGTACAGTTTGAAATCTTATATTAGACCGAGATTTTTATGTTTATGAGAGGTATTAATCTTATTCTGTGCTAAATAAAGAACAAGTGAACTGTGATTTAACTTTACTGATAACATAGCAAGGCTCTTGTGGGATGGCAAGCTGTTATGTGGTTTGTTTTTGGCTGGTGAGCCCACTAACAGATATCACTCTATACCATGCTATTTCAGTTTGTTAAAAGGGACTGAAACAAGCCGGACTAACTTTTGCAGAAAAAGTAATCATAGCTTGTTGGCTAATTCTTGGTTTGTTTCCTTTCCCTCCTTTATAACCTGCTTATTCCTTGCATAAACATAGTTTGATAGAGGATTATAAAGGACAAAAGTATGAATAAAATGCCATGTCTAGCAGCATCTTGTCTACTTTGATATTGCCTTCCTTCTCCCCTTCTGGGTTCTGAATCCCTCAAGTTAAAGAGTTTCCATGTTCTATAGCAGGGGTGTTAAACTTGCCGTGGTAGCATGTGATGTATCACAACTTTTCCTCCCTTCGCGCTAAACTGTGTGTGGGCATGGCCAGCACGTGACGCATCTGGCCCACAGGCAGTGAGTTTGACAGCCCTGTTCTATAATGTATAGGACAGTTCAGTTTCCTGTTATTTCCTGAGTCATACAGAAGTCTTCATCTGCTTTTGCTTGGAGCAGTCAAGGCAAAGGGAATTTTGCTCCATTCCCAGAAAGGAGCAGTGCTGCACATAGACAGGTGGGAGAAAATAATTTGGTTTAATGGAAGTAAAGCAAATATTTAGTCATATCCATGATTGGGAAACACAAAATAACAGAGTAACAGAGGTGGAAGGAACCTTGGAGATCATCTAGTCCAATCCTCTGCTCAAACTGGAAACCCTATTGTTAGGAATATAATCTAACAGTTGGGTTGGCAATATATAAACCATGTAATAATACTATACCTGTTTCTTTAAATCATACTGTAAAATGGGATTGTTTGCTGTTTTCCTCAATCGGCCATAAGAGGGAGCCAGAATTACTATTAGCTCTCTGCATGTTAGATGCTGGGCTGATCTGATCTGAGTGTTTTGGAAGCTGGCAGTTAGATTATATTCCTAACAATAGGGTTTCCAGTTTGAGCAGAGGATTGGACTAGATGATCTGATCT